CCTTTTTACAAAGAAAAAAAGAAGAAAAAATATTAATAATCATCTGGTTACAAAAATACAACAAAACAGAAACAACATTAAATAAATCTTACATAAAACCCCTTATTCTAATTTATATTTGTTCATTAAACCAAGTTTAATCATTATTTTAAACACAAACAATGATCCAGCATTTCTAACATCACTCTCCAGATCATTCCACAATTTCACTCCCTGTATCGACGTACACTGTTCCCTCAAACTTGTTCCAAGATTTAGAATAATTATCATTTTGCTCCGTGCGTACACTGGTAATGTCTGACTGGGCCTCGTGCCACTTTATGCTCAATAAACTGGGCCCCGAGGTCTAAAAGGTTAAGAACCCCTGAATTATAGGACTTAATTTGTAATTAATTATTATTGTTTATTAATAAATGGAGAGTTCTATCTTTGCCTGTTTTTGTTTGTGTGTTCCAGGCTGTTTTACGGGGTTTTTTTTTTTACACCTGTTCTTCTCCTTCCAGAACCTGGACCAGGTCTTCCCTCTGTACCAGACCTTTGCAGAGACCAGAACCTCGGACCATGAAATCCCCACAAACCCATACTGCAGAGAGGGCGGTCTGCCGCTGACAAGCCCCGCCCACCTGAGCGTTTGTCAGCGTCTGCGGAAAGTGATCGAAGAGTTGGTCGACACCGAGAAATCCTACGTGAAGGTCAGAACCTGCAGCCCAAAAAAACTACTGCAGTTAGACCCAGAACCAGGACTATATCCACTGAAATCTGCTTTTAATTACAAACTGCAAACAAATATTTCAGATCAACGTTTGTGTTGGTTTTTATTTAAATCTTTTAAATTAATAAGTACATTTTCTGGCTGATGTTCACTTTATATTTCTTATCTTAGTATTTAAACCAAACATCAGTTTTATTCAAACTTTCAACACTTAAGTCATCTTTGTGTAACATCTTTTGTGTTGTTGTGTTCAGGACCTGGTGTGTCTGTTCGACATCTACCTGAGTCCTCTGCAGAACCAGACGTTCCTCAGTAAAGACGAGGTGAGAACCGACCCACGTGAAGCTCAGACTTTTAGGTTTCAGGTCTGATGTAGTCGTTTCTCCTGATTCAGATGGAGGCGCTGTTCGGCAGCCTTCCTGAGATGTTGGACTTCCAGAGAGTTTTCCTTCAAACGCTGGAGGAAAGAATCTCAGCATGTCCGAACTTCAGCTGCTTGGAAACTCCAGAACAGTTTCAGGTAAAAACACATCATTTTTATTTGTTTTATATTCAAAACTTCTGTTCAGAGGTTTTATTTCTCACAAGATCTTTATTAGCTGAAATGACGAGTCAGCTACTGTCTGTCACTTTGAGCTTTTAGCTACTATTTTGCCACTTTTATCTAGTTTTCTGGCATTTTTAATATTTAGCTACTATTCAATTAAATTTTCTTTTCTTTAGCATTTAGCTACCTTTCTAACACTTAAGCTTTGAGGTATTATTTAGCCACTTTTAGCATTTAGCTATCATTTTACCACTTGAGCCTTTAGCATCTAGCTACCATTCTACCTCTTAAGCTTTCAGCATTTAGCTGTTTCTGCCACTTATTTGTTTTGCATTTAGCTACAATTCTACCACTTGAGCTTTTAGCATATTGCTACCTTTCTACCACTTAAACCTTTAGCATTTAGCTACCATTCTACCACTTGAGCCTTTAGCATTTAGCTACCATTCTACCACTTGAGCCTTTAGCATTTAGCTACCTTTCTCCCTCTTAAACTTTAAAGTGTATCTTACCCCGCCCCCTGTGAAAAGATAACTCCGCCCCAAGGCGAAATTTGAAAAATGCATCAAAGTGGGTAGGGGAGGGGGTGTGGTTAGGGGAGGGGGTGGGGTTAGAGAGCGGAGGTGTGGCCAGGACGAGAGAACGTGACAGCTAGCATTAGCATGATCGATGC